CGGGTAGGATTAAGGAAAACCCTAAGGCGTTCTATACTTATGTGAGGAACAAGAGGATGGCCAGAATGAGGGTAGGGCCAATCAGGGATAGTGGAGGGAACTTGTGTGCGGAGTCAGAGGAGGTAGGGGAGGTCCTTAATGAATTCTTTGCTTCAGTATTCACCAGTGAGAGGGACTTTGAAGTTTGTGAGGACAGCGTGAAACAGGCTGATATGCTTGAATAGGTTGATGTTAGGAAGGAGGATGTGCTAGAAATTTTGAAAAACACGAGGATAGATAAATTCCCTGGGCCAGACGGGATATGCCCAAGGTTACTATGGAAAATGAGGGAAGAGATTGCTGCGCCTTTGGCGATGATCTTTGCGTCCTCACTGTCCACTGGAGTAATACCAGATGATTGGAGGGTGGCAAATGTCATTCCCTTGTTCAAGAAAGGAAATAGGGATAATCCTGGGAATTACAGACCAGTCAATCTTACTTCTGTGGTGGGAAAATTAGAACATCTTCACAGAGGCAATTAGAGATGGGCAATAAAAACTAGCCTTGTCTTGTCCATAACCTATGAATGAATGAATAGAAAAGCATGAGGACATGATTATAGTATTCAAATTAGTAATGATCATGGTGTAGAGGATCAGTCAGGGATATTTGTTTTGGCACAGGATACATAAATAATATGCTAGTATAACCTGAAAGGTAAAAGTTTACTTCAGTAGGGGTCTGTCAGTTTTCCAAATACTTTAAAAAGGAAGGTGGTGGGCTTAACAGCGAGGAAAGATTGTACAAACATCTAGAAGTGAGACATGTCAATGACACAAAAGTACAGAAAAATGGACCAGTCATTCCTGCCATTAAGATTTTCTATGCTTTTTTTCAATTGTCAGATAATGTGGCAACAGATCTTTCCAAATCCAGGCCATAAGCCAATTTTAGCTACTTTATCATTAGATACAATATTCTTACTTTATGTCAGATAAATCTCCAAACTTTTCAGAGTTAGATGAAAAGATGACAACTCCTCCTTTTGAGGTTGTTCCAATTAGCTTCCAAAAGCCAAATCTTATAGCTAGCATTCCTTTCAAGTTGCTATTATGATCCCAGACCAGATCACCAAATTTATATTACAATTTGGCTTGGGACCAGTAACTTTTCCTTTTACAGTCGACAAAGTGGGAGATCTAGGGGACTAACCAAGAGAATTATGTTACAAGATTCCACAGTTTTAAACTACACCAATAAACTTTATTACATAACAGTGGAACAGTAATATAATTTGCAATATGTACAACTTATGTTCAGAATTCATGTGGTAAATATGGTTAACAGATCGTGATTGAACACCTTCAGCACACATCAGATGGCTACTGCAATCAAGCTAAATCCCTCGGATTTCTCACAACTGCCCCCACTCTGAACATTAATGGCACAATGGGTCATAAGATCTCAATAAACAAGGGGTTACAATTTGCCAATTTAGCCTTAAAGCTCCCTCTCAAGAACCACTCAGTCACAGACTACCGTAACGTCAGCTCCCGCTCTGGTTGATCATCCACCTTTTCTGGGACTACATTCCTCAAAACTACACTCTGACACTTGCTCACAAGCATAACTCCAGCTCCTCACTGACAGCTTGCATCACCATGCCAGTCTTGCCTCGAGATTCCCCCCTCCAACCTGGTTCAATTGCCTCAAGCAAATACGGTTTGTAAACTTTTCAAAAACGACTCTCTCGGGTGGACTGACGTATTAATGCTCACAAATATCTTTCAAGCATCCCCCAACACAGTCAGCAACCTTCCCACTTTCTCAGCCCCACAGGGCTTCTTCAAAGTGCTTAACTGCCTATCAATTCCTAACTTCTTCCCGAGTTCTAATACAGAGCCATCCAGCTGCTCTCAACTCCTCTTAACATAAATGATCTGGAGAAAGGTATAGATGGTCTGATTAGCAAGTTTGCAGATGACATTAAGATTGGTGGAGTAGCAGATAGTGAAAGGGACTGTCGGAGAATGCAGCAGAATATAGATAGATTGGAGAGCTGGGCGGAGAAATGGCAAATGGAGTTCAATCCAGGCAAATGCAAGGTGATGCATTTTGGAAGATCCAATTCAAGAGCGAACTATACGGTAAATGGAAAAGCCCTGGAGAAAATTGATGCACAGAGAGATCTGGGTGTTCAGGTCCACTGTACCCTGAAGGTGGCTCTGCAGGTCAATACAGTGGTCAAGGTGGCATACGGCATGCTTTCATTCATCGGATGGGGTATCGTGTACAAGAGTTGGCAGGTCATGCTGCAGTTGTATAGGACTTTGGTTTGACCACATTTGGAATACTGCGTACAGTTCTGGTCGCCACATTACCAAAAGGATGTGGATGCTTTGGAGAGGGTGCAGAGGAGGTTCACCAGGATGTTGCCTGGTATGGAGGGCGCTAGCTATGAAGAGAGGTTGAGTAGATTAGGATTATTTACATTAGAAAGACGGAGGTTGAGGGGGGACCTGATTGAGGTCTACAAAATCATGAGAGGTATAGACAGGGTGGATAGCAAGAAGCTTTTTCCCCCAGAGTGGGGGACTCAATTACTAGGGGTCACGATTTCAAGGTGAGAGGGGAAAAGTTTAAGGGAGATATGCGTGGAAAGTTCTTTACTCAGAGGGTGGTGGGTGCCTGGAACGCGTTGCCAGTGAAGGTGGTAGAGGCGGGCACGATAGCGTCATTTAAGATGTATCTAGACAGATACACGAATGGGCAGGGAGCAGAGGGATACAGATCCTTGGAAAATAGGCGACAGGTTTAGATAGAGGATCTGGATCGGCGCAGGCTTGGAGGGCCGAAGGGCCTGCTCCTGTGCTGCAATTTTCTTTGTTCTTTGTTCCTCATTCGTCAGTTGCACAGGATCTGTGTAGTTTGCCTACCTTCCCAGCAGTATTGCTAACTCTAGCATTTCTAACATGGAAATTACTCCTGTCTCTGCATTTGTTTCTCCAACTGCCTGTACTTTTTCACAGACTGCCTGTAACATTTGAACTCCTCTTCAATGACTCCTGAATGACCTGCTGAAAATTTTGCAATAAACTAACTGTAATGCTGGATAGAGCTGAATATAGTCACCTAGCACAAATTAGAACTGAGTGTGCTCTGTATGTTACAATTCAGTTTGCTGGCTTCCATACATAAAAAAAGTTGACAAAAAGGATTCATCATTCTCTTAATATCACTGAAATGTTTAGATACAGGTCAAGGTCTGCCTGTAAGTAACCAGTATTTTGTTGAGCAGTTTAAAATAATAGGGGAGTTAATAACTACTAAATCCAAACATAGAAAGAGAAGTTGGAGCAGATTGGCCATTCAGCACCTTAAGCCTGCTCCACCATTCATTCTGATCATGTTTGATCGAGCTCAATACCCTAATACCGCCCTCCCCCCCCATATCTCTTGATCCCTTTAGCCATCAGAGTTATACCCACCTCCTTCTTGAAAACACAATGTTTTGGCCTCAACTACTCTCTGTGGTAGTGAATTCTACAGGCTTACCACTCTTTTGGTGAACAAATTTCTCCACATCTCACAGTCTGAAAAGGCTCACTCCTTATCCTTAATCTACGACTCCTGGTTTGGAACTCCCTCACCATTGGGAAAATCTGTCATGCATCTAAACGGAGTAGTCCTGTTAGAATTTTATGGGTTTCTATGAGATCTTCCTTCCTCCACCCCAGCTAATTCTTCTAAATGCCTGTGAACACAATCTTAACTGACTCAACCTCTCCTCATATGTCAGTCCTGTCATCCCAGCAATCAATATGGTAAACCACAAAAGAAAGATGTCAACTAATGGAAGGACTTTACAGGCAGACTAAATCTGCTTTAATTCACACAGAACTCCTTCTGTGGTCAACAGCTCATGCAGTGGGACTTGAACACAGGATCTTCTAGCTCAGAGACATGAGCGCTACCAATTCAGGATTACTGCTTGCTGTAGAGCAAAATGGTTCAGTAAGAAAATTTCTGACAATACAGCACAGGAAGGCAGGCAGTTTTCATTTTGCTTTTGGTCAAACATCGAATGATCCTATTGTGACAATATTTTCCAGATAGATGGGTAATTATTGTCAAAATTACCCTTCTCTCCTAAAGATGTATTTGGTACAGACAGTGCTTCTTTAAAAGGGCGGCACAGTGGCTCAGTGGTTAGCAATACTGCCTCACAGCACCAGGGACCCAGGTTCAATTCCAGCCTAGGGTGACTGTCTGTGTGGAGCTTGCACATTCTCCCCGCGTCTGCATGCCTCCGGAAGCTCCGATTTCCTCCAACAGTCCAATGATGTGCAGGTTAGGTGGGTTAGCCATGGGAAATGCAGGGTTACAGGCATAGGTTAATAGGGTGGGATGCCCTTTGGAAGTCAGTGTGGACGCGATGGGCCGAATTGCTTGCTTCCACACTGTATGGATTCTAAGAGACCGATACCTAATTTTACTAAAGAAACCAAATCTGTCGAAGTCTATTTTAATATAGTCAGCCTCTTTTAAATGAATTCAAGTTTAATCCAAGTCGTAGAAAACGTTTCCTACTTCAGTGGTGAAGTTTTTCTAATCCGTGGCAGATTCTCAATAGGATTGACTAGCAAGTCTTGAGTTACACACTCTTATTCAAAAATCTAGGACAGATGAGAACATAGGGAGGCAAAGCAAGAGTGTCTTAATTCATTGCAATATCAATTTCCTGCAATTTAAAATCTGAATAAAAAACCGTGCTGCTAAGAACTGACATTTATTTTATCAATGTTCTTGCCATACGTAGCTGCATCAGTTCTATTCACAAAGTAGGAAACAGTCATTTCAAAAGCTGTTTTCTTCTGTGTAAATTAAATGAATTAATGTCAAGACATAAACAGTGAAGGAACATGCTACCTGTTGATTGGAAATCATTGGGTATCTCGTTGCCCGAGGTTTTCTTTCAAGTTTAAATACAAGAAAATAAGTTCAGTACTATGACAGCTTACCTTGGCTGGCGGTATTTCAAGCAAAGCTCCAAGCTCTTCAAATGTAATATTATTGTACAGTTTACTGGCAGAAAGCAAGTTGTGTTCAATGACTGCCCTGTCCAATATACTGGAACCTAGTATTAAGGGAGGAAACATGATATGAACAATAGATACAAAGTCATCTGAATTTTTAAATTGACTAAACTTTAATTAATAAGAAATCTGCCCACCAGAAGTCTTTAAAATGCAGTACAAAATTTAGAGGAACCTGTTTACATCATCTGTGGCATTTGCGGAATTGGCACAAATGGCATTACTTATTATCACCATTAATTTGCATAATTTAATTGGTTCTGGAGATGGCAATTACAGCCACTATGCCATTCCAGCCCTATTACTAGATAACTATAATACTAGAGATAGATGAATTAGATTCTCAACTGACAAGAGAATCAGAAGCTATTGGGGGTAAGAGCAAAGTTGAAGCCACAGAATCAGATCAGTCATGATTTTACTGAATGATGGAGCAGGCTATAGGGACCAAATGGCCTACTGGTGCTCCTAACTCATGTTTGTATGTAAATGACATCGCAAAAATGTAATCTAAGTTAATTACTACAAGTGTATTAGCTCTGTAAGATTTTAAAAACATTATTGTAATCCGAAGTGAAAATCTAAAACACACAACAAAGAATAAAGCATGTGGAGGCAATGGCCTGGTGGTATTATTGCTGGACTGTTAATCCAGATACTCAGATAACATTCTGGGGATCCAGGTTCTAATCTCGCCATGGTAGATGTGGAATTTGAATTCAATAAATATCTGGAATTAAGAATCTAATGATGACCGTGAATCCATTGACAATTGTTGGAAAAACTCATCTGGTTCACTAATGCCCTTACCATTACCTGCCATCCTTACCTGGTCTGGCCTACATGTGACTCCAGACCCACAGCAATGTGGCTGACTCTTAACTGCCCTCTGGGCAATTAGGGATGGGCAATAAATGCTGCTTGGTCAGCGATGCGCTCAGCCCATGAATGAATGAAAAAATTCCTTTGACAGGCCTCCACTTATTCTAAACAATATCAGATGAAGTCACCATAATGCACTTTTGGACAGTCTACCACCTCCATCATGCTTAATTCGGAGCCTTTACAGTCCACATTTTCTCTGAAATTTGGGAATTCGTTCTTAGTTCTATTTGTACCTATTGTTCTGATGTAGTGACTAATCCTGTTTGAACTTCACTGGGTTGAAGTTCTGAAGAGGATTGGCAAGTGAATTAAAGTCAGGACACCAGATCCATTGATATCATCAGCATGATGCAAAATATGTAAGCATGGACTTAAACAAGGGGTGTGGGTTAAAGCTGCTTGGTATGCATCTATAGTTTCTAAAAGCAAAAGGATGGACAGTACAGTGTTAGTCAGTTAAACAGTGGCACAGTCAAAATGGCTGCACCAAAAGTTAGCATCAGAATCGACAAAGTAAAAACAGAGAGAGCAAGAAAAATGACAAATTATGGTAGACAGATTTAGACCCGAGAGATTGCTGTACATGTGGCAGTTTTTTAGTTGGTCACTTCTAGGTAATGAACCGAACATAAAATAAATATCCAGGAAGATGCCAAAGTACTTAGCACAATGGTCTCAGTTAAAATAAAATTTATACAATAACAAAAATCTTGATATCGTAAGTATAAATAGAATACTCGATGACAGGCATTGTACAGTTATCCTAGTCCTTAGTCAAATCAATGCAATTTACCCCCAGGACATAAATAAATCAACAGTTTGTCATTACATAGCCTCCATTCATTAAAGTGTTTTCCAATTAAAGGGGTCAGAAACTTTAATTGTAATCAGTAACTGAATTATTAATATGCTAATTTAACCGAAAACAAGTTACCACATAAATATTTTGAGATTGTAACAATGTTTTAAGATATCTACTACTTTAAAAAATGCAATTACTCTGGTTTCCTCTCCTCATTTGAAGGAACTGATTGATGTTACAGTGCAGTTTCAATGGAAATGTCAACCATGGCAGTATGATCAGAAAGCAAATTTGTGTCCTTCTCCCACCCAAGGGAAACTGTGGCATTCTAAATGCTATCCAGTTTGAAATCAACTAACTTAGCTGACAGGAAAATTGAATATGCATGCTAAATACTATGCTTCCTGCATACTCATCTGTCTACATTCATTCACGGACAGTTTCAGATAAATGACAAGTTAATTATTACCATTGCCCTTGCTACATGCCTGCAGATATTTTTTGAATGCCATTAATGACTAAACATCAAATCAACTATTAAAAATTGTTTTGTTTTAAAAGTACAAATAACTGAATCCTCTGCATTTGTCTGCTGTTGTAAAATATCATCCAAATAAATATGCCAGAAAGAAAGTTCATAAATTTTATAGCAATCTACTGGTGCATAATGTTTGACATTTACTCTGTCTTACTCAAATGGTTTTATAATAAAATCAAATTTTTAATGCAATATTCCCAGTGTGTGCTAAATACTAAATCTAAAAGCTCCATTAATTCAAGTGAGATCACTGAGTGCTCTAAATGAGTCCCTGACTACAGCAATGCACTATGTCACCACAGAAATATTGTGATGAGTTATTGTGATTTTGCACTTGCATGCATGATGCTCCACCTAGCATGGCACTGTCCACAAACGCAGCCAACATTAAAGGTAAGCTCATCACTTGCTTGTTGACAAGGATAGTAGTTATGCTACCAGGAAGTGGGAGGATAGTAGTACAAGAAAGAAAGTACAATGTGTAATTTCATACAGTCAGGCAATACTACAACTTCTGTTCCACTTGATGCTGCTCACCTTTTTCTAAGTGTCCACCTCTCTCTTCCATGACAGCCTTCTACCACCAGAGTTGATCTACATCCTGTTATTGACATTTATCCTGGACCTATCTGACTTCTCCGTGACTAATACCAGTGTCTTTGCTTTTTACTCTGTGACATTCAAGATGATTATGTGTGTAACTCAACAATGCAGGAAACTATTAACTAAGGGTAGTTTGGCTTTGTTTGAACAACACCATGAGGAAATGAATGTTCAGCCTGACAGGGTGTTCACATTCATTCTGTTAAAAATAAAATTTACAGTTCCAAAGATGTGTTTTAAGTTTGTGACCCACAAACTATTCTACTATACAGTACAAAGAAAAAGGTGTGAAACACACACCTTCAGAATAAAAACTGTCAAGACTTTACCGTCAGCAGTCGTTGCTTTCTGGTGAGGCATCAGCATGGCAGCAAACTCCTGCAGCTGGTTCCCTCGAATAATTCTATCCAGATACATTTTCTCTAGAATGCCATAAGCTGCAAGTTGCTGGCAGCGTTCATCCTTAAACAGGGTTGCCAGCATACGGGAACGCTGCTGTCCTGGGGCAGAGGGAAGAAACAACCAGCAGAATTATTGTCAATTATAAAACTTCACTATGTTACACTGCAGTATTTGTTCACAATGTTACATCCATACATCAAATTGGGTTTGCTTAAAATATCTTCAGCTCTAAATTCATTCCACTAGATGTCTTATTTTAAAAATGGATACTTCTATGACACACATTTTAATAGCCCTTGACATTTCACATAATAAAACCTAACCCGTCAAAACCAAACTATGGAAGAAAAGGCCTAGATGCACCGGACTTGAAACATCAGCCAAATTTACTGAAATAATTTTCCTTGGTGTATGCATCCAGATCACTTTCCATGCTACTCATGTAGCAACAATGTGAATGTCAACCTTTAACATTAAAACAAAATATAGTTTATGCTTTTCTGAATTGAGAGCGTATCAATAAAATGCAGCATCTTTAAAATGTTCTGAAGATTAGTACTGAAGTTAGTTAATTGCTCCAGGAATAACACTTGGAATCCAACTACAGGAAGGTTAAGTTCATATGTTAAATTTCATTGTTTTTGAAAAAAAAGTTATTCGCTATGGAAATGCTTCCTGAGCTCCCAATAAGGCCAAAAAATGCAGTACAGCTGTGGAGGAGCCTGAAGCTCTCGCCATTCTTACGTTCCTAACTCCAGAGGAATTGTGAATTGGAAACTTAAAAAACATATTAAACCAAGGGTAAAGTTACACTAAAAGACTTTTTTTTAAAACATCTGTAACATTTTAATTTAAGTATGCACTTATCCGTTTGTGGAAACCAGCAGTTTGTCTACTAACAAATTGACCAGCATACCGGTTCAAACTTAAGACCTGCAAACCAAAATAATTCAACTCAACCAGATGTTTATTGTACACATTGTTGCTCTAGCTTTACTGGTCTACAACATAAATATATTATTACCTGCTGATGCTAGAATGGTGCAGTGCAATGCATGCTTTAATGCTTCTAGTCGCTCAGTCTCATGTACTATAGACTTATAAGAAAGTTCATTATATCGTTGTGCCGCTTCTATAAACTTCCTTCTGTAGTCAAGGACACGTGCATAGCATACCTGAAGACAAAAAGTCATGTTATATATGTCCGAAAACCATTGAGAAGCACTAAATCAACCATGTGACAAACATGAAACTTTTTTTTTTAGTTTGCACATATCTAAGCTGGACATCAAAATGATTCTGACATTTAACGTAAAAATTGAAGTGAGATTTAAAGATTAGCCTACCACAAAAATAATATCACACTTGCACGAAAGGTTATAAAGGGATGCGGAAAGCAAGAAAATAACAATGTGTTTGTAATAGACCAAACATTTACACTGAAATTATGATTAGAAGCTAAAAACATAAGCATAAATAACAAATTCCAAAATTTGACAGAATTGCGTGCTTCAGTCAGACTTCTCTCCCACCTGCACATTTGCATGGTTCTCAAACACATTTCTGACAGTAAGTCAATTTAGTTGTAACTTAGGGAAATATTTGAATGGAAAAAATAAAAATGCAGGAAACCTGAAACATTAAAAATACAAATCAGGCAAGACATCTGTGGAACAGTCAAATGTCTCAATCTCCTGTGGAACTGCAAAGACTAGGTATAACAGATTTGCTTTTATAGGTTGTATAATTAGACTGTAGTGCTTTTCCTCCAATTCCCGACTTTTTTTTTAAAAAACCTATTCCACTTACTCTTTCTTCCTCCATCCCTCCGAACCCCAACCAGAAGCTGCTTATGAAATACTGAACACCAGTGTAAAAAGGAAGTTAAAAGGTTTTTTGAAGGGATTCAGGAAGAAAAGTTTTAATATTTTCTACAATTAAATCATATCTATTTAACTATAGGACCATAAGACATCAGAGCAGAACCAGGTCATTCAGCCTGTCGAGTTTGCTCTGCCATTCAATGAGATCATAGCTGATCTGATCATCTTCAACTCCAGTTTCCCAACTCAACCCTTGATTTGCTTTCTAATTACAAATCTGTCCATCTCCTCCTACTAATGCAGCCTCTACAGCCCTCTATGCTTAAAAAAAATCCATAAATTCACTGCCCTTTGAGAACAAATTCCTGTTCATCTGTCTTCAATCTGCGACCACTTATTCTGAGATTATGCCCTCTGGTACTCGACTATCCTGCAAGGATAAACTACCTTTCCACATTTACCCTGTCAAGTCCCTTTAAGAATCTGTTGTTTAAACAAGGTCATCTCTCATTCTTCTAAATTCCAATGAGTACAGGCCCAAACTACTCAACCTCTCCTCATAACACATCCCATCCTTAGCCAGGATCAGTCTAGTGAACCTTCTCTGGACTGCCTCCAATGCCAGTAGATTTTTCCTTAGATAAAAGGGCCTGAAACAGTTTGCAATCATCCAGCTTTGGTTTGCTAGTGCCTTTTAAATTCTTAGCAATATTTCCCCATTTTACACTCATTTCATTTGAAATAAAGGTCAACATTCCACTTGCTTTTCCTATTACCTGCTGACCTTGTATACTAGTTTTTTGAGTTTTATGCACAAAGGCTTCCAAATTCTTCTCTACTGTCATTTTATGCAGTCCTTCTCCATTTAAATAACAATCAGCCCCTCCAATCTTCCCAAAGTGCATAATCTCACCAACTAGTTTTTATAGAGGTGGTGATGACCTAGTGGTATTATCGCTGGGCTGTTAATTCAGAGGCCCAGATAATGTCCCAGGAACCCAGTTTCGAATCCCACTACAGCAGATTACAGAATTTGAATTCAATAAATATCTGGAATTAAACAGTCAAATGATGACCACGAATCCATTCTCAACTGTCACAAAAACTCATCTGGTTCACTGATGTCCTTTAGGGAAGGAAACTGCCAGCCTTACCTGGTCTGACCTACATGAGACTCCAGATCCACAGCAATATGGTTGACTCTCAACTGCCCCCTGGGCAATTAGGGAAGGGCAAGAAATGCTGCCTGGCCAGCAATGCCCTCATCCCATGAATAAATAAATAATCCATCTGTCAAATTTTTGCCCACTGGCTTAACTTATCTATGTCCCTCTGCAGACTGCATGCATCATCCTCAGAGCTTGCCTTTCTACCTATTTTCGTGTGATCTGCAAATCTGGCTATAGTACATTCACTTTCCTCATCCAAGTCATTAAATTACATTGTAAATAATTGTGGCCCCAGCACTGATCCCTGTGGTACTCTGAGGGGTACAGGCTGCCATCCTGAAACTGTTCCCCTTATTCCATTTCTCAGTCTTCTATTGGTTAGCCAATCCTTCCTTCATGCTAATATACAACTCCAAAACCAGGGGCTCTTATCTCATTAAGTATCCGAACATATGGTACCTTATCAAATACCTTCTGAAAGCCCAAATATACTATACCCGCTTCTTCCCCTTTATTTATCCTACTTGTTAATTTCTCTGAGAACTCTAATGATTTTGTCAGGCATGATTTCTATTTCATGAAGCCATGCTGACTCTTTTTGATCATATTATTATTGCCAAAGGTTCTACTGTTGTATCTTTTATAATTGACTCTAACATTTTTCCCAATAATTACCATTAAGATAACAGGCTTAAGTTACCTGTTTTTATCTCCATATTTCTAAAATAAAGGTACATTGACAGTTGTCCAATGCTCCATGACTTTTGCAGAACTTAAGGATACCTAGAAGATTACTACCAGTCTATCAACTTTCTTTAAAGTTACAAGTTTAATATCCTAGGATGCATCCCATCTGGTCCGGGGGTCCTATTGGTTTTTAGCCCTATTTGTTACCCAAGCACTTTTTCTCTAGTTATTTTTACTGAATTTATTTTCCCTCCTCCTTTTGTCCCTTGATTATTTGTAATTTTGGAATACAATTAGTATTTTTTATTGTGAAGATTGATGCAAAGTATTTATTAGCTTCCTCTTCCATTTCCTAGTTCCCCATGGTTTCCACAGCCTCATTCTCTAAGGGGCCTGCACTAACTTTGGCCTCTTTCTTCTTTTTAATATATTTAAAGAAGCTTTTGCATCTGTCTTGATATTACTTACAAGTTGACCCTCAAAGTTTATCTTCTCTCTTTTTGTGTTGGTCATCCTTTGCTGCTTTTTAAAACTTCCCTAACCCTTTGGCTATCCACTAATTTTTGCTCGTATCATGCTTTATCTTTCAATCTGACGCTTACCTTAACTTCAAAGTTAACCACGGTTGTCTTATCCCCTTCCTTGAATCCTTCTTTCTCACTGCTATACGTGTTTGCTGTGATCCATGAATTATTTTCCTAAACAGCTACCACTTTTCTTCAACTGTCTTTGTTGCTAAACTACTCTCCCAGTCCACTGCAGCTAGCTCTGCCCTCATTCATTTGTAATTATCCTTACTTAAGCTAGGCACAGTTGTTGCCCACCCAGGTTCCTCCCAATAAAACTAAATGCTAAATTATACCATATTAGGGTCACTGTTTCCTAAGGGATCCTGTACTCGACATCACTATTAAACCTGCCTCACTACACATCACCAAATACAAAACAGCCTGATTTCCTGATTGGATCCACAACATATTGCACTACAAAACTGTCCCAAACACACACCATGAATTCTTCCTTGTGGCAACCTCTGTCAATCTGGCAACTGCAATCTATAGGCAATTAAAGTCATGCACTGCCTAACTAATGTACTGCTTTTTTTTTTTTAAACATGCCCTCATTATCTCCTGATTTATTCTCTGTCCTACAGTTATTTGTTATCCAAATAGCTATCTTGTAATGCTGCTATATCTTCTTGTTTTGTAATCCTACCTATCCTCTCTCTCTCGCTAATTAGTTTAAAGCCCTCTCTACAGCCCTAGTTATTCGATTCACCAGGACACTGGTCCCAGTATGGTCCAAGCGAAGCACATCCCATTGGAACTGCTCCCTTCTAAACTAACTTTACATAGATTGCTATAACTAATCATTTCTGGTTTGATTGATTCAGTCCAATTTCTATAACGATTTCTACTTTTGTGGCTTGCAGATGGTAATTTATTGATTGCGATATTAAACTAAAATTTAATTTGCTGCCAACTAACATCCTAACCTGATCAGAGATAGCAAGAACTGCAACTGCTGGAGTCAGAGATAACACAGTTAACTTGAAGGGTCCCGACCTGAAATGTCAACTTTCCTGCTCCTCTGATGCTGCCTGGCCTGCTGTGTTCCTCCAGCTCCACACGATGTTATCCTAACTTGATGATCTTTTGTTTACACTGAAGGCATTAGAATTGGAATTTGAATCTGTCAGTCAAGCTTAGTTAATTCTTAAATGCTGGTTACTGTGTCCTTATACATCGCACTGCACCTTCCACGTGTTTTCCTTAAATCTACACAGAAATTTGTTTTGAAATGAGTTTCACACTGGATCCTAACTTTCATTTTTACCTATTGAGCTTTCTATCTTTTCCAAGATTATAGGATAAATTAGCTCCACAGCAACTCTACAACAGACTAAAAATAAACACTTATTTTAAGTAATGGTTTTTGGTGTATCCACTTTTAAAATCAATGATAATGGGGATCAATACGTAGAAAGCATGACCAAAGTTGGGGGAGGGATTTGGAACTGGTAACAAAGCATTAAAGCTGAAGATACAATGAGCTGTTCTGTACATCCTTAAAGGATACTGGATTCAGATTCAATCAGTAGCCTTAAACCAGAATTGAGCCCAACTTCACCTGTGCCCACCCAATATTACCAAATGTTCAAACATTTTCCAACAATGAATCAAAAGGAGAAATGGAAACCCCAGCTGACTTTCCTCCTGTCTGAACCAAGGATTCTAGGACAAATTAAATCTACACACTGTTCTCTTAGCTGCAATCAACTAACTCAAATCAGATAGGCAATTCAACTTGAAGCACACATTATCTGAGATGGCAGCAGAAATGGAATTACTGCATTCTTCCATATTGTAAAAGTTTTATGACATTCCTGTCTTTAGCTGTATAATAGTAGCTATTTTGCAACATGGAAATCTACCTTGTAATGTATCTGCAGTTGTTCATTGGTGGATTCATTTTGAAGTAGAGAGGCCCGATTTATGTAAGCTTCTGCCTGCACAGGATCATCATCTTCCAGGTACAAACGAGCAATTTTCAGATAGGTGTCGAGTTTATAGTCCACGTTATATTGCCTTCAAAAAGAATACAGCATTTAAAACTAAACGGCCAATTTTTTTTTTAACATAAAGAAACAAAATAATTGAAAATTACCCAAGGTGTATACCCAAGACTATAATCATTCATCTAAGATTAAAGGCAGGAAAGTTATTACTTCTTTTGGATATTAAACTCAAAGTAATTATCATTCATTTTCTCATTTACTGAATGCTCAACAAATTTCAGGTTGCTTTAGAAGTTCCAATGCTTTTATTTTTATATATTCTTGGGATGTGAGATTTGCTGGCTTCACCAGCATTTATGGTCCATTCCTCATTGCACTTGAGGTGCAGAGATGAGAGACCTTCTTGGATTGTTGCAGTCCATCCGATGGAAGTTCTCACACTTTGCCAGCAGACAGAAGGTTCTAGAATTTTGAACAATTGATGGTACAGAAATAGAATCGTATGTTCCAGTGAGGATAGTCTGCAATTTGGAGAAGAACTGGTAAGTGGTAATGTTCCAAAATCTAAAGACTTCAGTACTCCAGACTATGTCAGAACCCATGTCCAGTGCCTTCAGCCATTTTGTGATATCACATGAGATAAACTGAAATGACTGAAGACTGATCTATAGTGGTGGAAAGCTTAGGTTGAGGCCGATAATTCAACCAATTAGTACTTCTGCTTGAAGATGTTTGCACATGTTTTAACCTGTCTTTTACACTGAAGAGCTGAGTGTTCCCATTTTGTATATATGTCAAGCTCCCTTGCCTGGCATATAGTTTGTGTTAATTGCTCCTGGCAACCTCCAGTAAAGTCTTCCTTGAACCAGGGCTAATTCTCTAGTTTGATCATTACGGTAGAATGTGGGTCATGAGGTTTTTTTAATTCATTTATGGGATGTGGATGTCTTTGGCTGGACCATTTATTGCCCATCCCTAATTGCCCAGACAGTAGCTTAGAGTCGATCACATTGCTGTGGGTCTGGAGTCACAGGTAGGCCAGACCAGCTAAGGATGGCAGATTTCCTTCCTTAAGGGCTATTAGTGAATGTTTAGCCTGACAATCGGCAATGGTTTCATAAACTCTTAATTCCAGATTATTAGGGAGTTCATATCCCACCATCTACCATGACACCTTTTGAACCATGGGCCAGAGTATTACCTGGGTCTCTTGATTAATTGTCTAGCAATAATAACACTACTCTACTTGATAAACTTGTTGCAGCAGTAAAACAATTTCAAACAAGTACAAACAGATGTTAAATTCAGGCACTGCAACAATAAAACGTGTTGTGGAATGATCAAAATGGAGGTTTATTTCCCTAAACCGTTGAGCTCTTATCTTAGACTTGTTATAGGAATGGCCATAGGAGACACTAAATCATTCCCAGTCAGGAGGAAGGTGAAAATCAGGAGATGTTACGTGACCTTATAGAGGTTTACAAAATCACGAGGGGCATGGATAGTGTGAATAGCTAAGGTCTCTTTGCCCAAGGTAGGGGAGTCTAAAACGAGAGGGTGTAGGTTTAAGGTGAAATGGGAAAGATTTAAAAGGAACCGGAGGGGCAACATTTTCATAGATACAGTGGTGTGTGTATGGAATGAGCTCCAGAGAAAGTGGTAGAGGTGGGTACAATTACATCATTTAAGCATTTGTGCAGGCACATGGATAGGAAAGGTTGAGACGGATATGGACCAAATACAGACAAATGGGACTAGTTCAGTTTAGGAAACCTGGTCAGCATGGAATTGTTGGGCTGAAGGGTCTGTTTCTGTGCCGTATGACTATCACTCTAAATCAATTTCATGCAAATCTCTGTTCATCAAGAAAATGGAAGAGGGCTCATCCCATTCACTCACCCAGTCTTTTTGCAAAAAGGCACATGGCCATGGTGGGGCAGCAGACAGCAAAATAAGAAGCTAAAATAGTATTGGATAGGCAGTAACTTTTCTGCAGGTTGTCTGGACTCAATTATCTAAATGTGTTGTGTTGATGTAACTGCATCAACAACACCAAAGAAGCTAATTACATTTGTCAACTAAATCAGCTATGTTATTCACAACAGAGACATAGAGCCTTACAGCACAGAAAGAGGCACTTCCATCCATCGTTTCTGCACCCGTAATCAAGCAGCAGTCTACTATATAAACTCATTTCCCAGCATGTGCCTTGTAGCTTTGTATGCTATGGTGTTCACTCAAATATTATTTACATTTAAGTATAAATTTATTCTTACTTAAGTGAAATGTTGATGTGCTTTAATGTGCAGTGATTTGTGGACACTAATTTTAAATGCAACCATCTTCTTTAAAATAGTTACAATACTGCCCACAACAATTAAGAATGGGAATTTATCCAATACGCACTTTTGCCCAGTTTCCAATGGAATTCCCACCAAAACTTGAGCAGCGTTTCTCCAGTCTTCTTCCTTCTCATAGATGGTGGCAAGATGTTGTCGTATGGAAGCCACCTGAAAAATTAAACAGACCAACCATGGTACACGAAGATATCTGTGATAGTTCTGAGGAAGGGTCACCGGGCCCAAAACATTAACTCTGACTTTTTTCTTCCCAGATGCTGCCAGAGCTGTTCAGCTTTTTCAGCAACTTCTGTTTTTGCAACCATGGTACACAACTAACGATAAGGAAAACAAACGTAAATCATTGGTAGCTTCTGAATTAGTTGCTTTTGAACTTATGTTAAGATTTTGTTTTTTTAAAATCAATCCATATCATTGCAAGAAAAATAAGAATATTTTTCTCTAGATTTTTAATTGTCTTCTTTCGTTACCACGGCAACCTACATTCCAAGGTGGGGTAGAGAATCTGAAGAATACATAACAAACCGATTGCTGTCGCTCACTCAGGTATGGTTTTGGAAATGTCCATTTAAATCATTCTCAATGAAGTTACAGCTGTGTTTGTAAACAATGGACTGCAGATTACAGACACGTGCGCCACAAAACATTAAAGTGGGCTGGCTGAAAATAAAGTTGTTCTGTGCTATTTTAGAACCTAACATGAAGGTTGTTGAGTAAGAGGCCCTAAAGGCATTCTGTGATATTATTTCCAGCTGACTTAAACTAGGTCAGAATGGGTAATGGCTTCATTTATTCTTGAAACCCTCCTGAAGTGCATTTTTGCATGTGAACGAAAGAATTTTAATAATTTATTTTAAATTTAGTGCCCTGTTGTTAAAAAAAAAAGAGCTTCTCATGCTTCATTATCCTGTTTTCATATTTTTCAAGTGGCAACAATCAAAAGTCCATTCTGATCATTAGTGTTTCACATTACAATTTACTAATCATATCAGCATGGAATGAGTATAATTCACTAAATACAGGGTTTTCTTAGCTTTACATAGTTCAAAGCAAAGTCAACTAAATATTTTCACAATTAAAAATTAAACCATCTTTCTTTTAAGGCAAATAATTATTGTTGCTTACTATCTATCATGCTCTCACCTGCTCTTCAAATGAAATGACTCGAGGCTGGATCTTTTCCAAAGTGAAGTGATAGATTTCTTTAGCTGTAGCATCTGGAAGATTTGGTAGGTGGGAGCAAAAGTCAGTCAGCAGTTGCCGGGAAATCACGAGGCTGACATTTTCATTAACCACTATGTTAAAAGAAAGAAGAAAAGAAAAGAGTTAAGAGCTTTCCTTTGACAAGGTAACATGAACAATTTACAGTGACTTGCTAGCATATTTCATTATAGTTGGAGGGTTAGTCTCCATGGAAAACATAATTCACAATTAGCAGAGCACTGCCTGAAATGGGACATTTACATTTCCTTTCCTATGCTACAAATATAAATTGATGAAAATCAGATTCCTCAAATAAAGAATTCAATGTGAAAATGTTACTTTATGTTCCATTGTTTGTTGTTTGCTTTTAACACAAAGCATAAACAAAAAATATTTCATTCTAATTTATTCAGGTTTAGCTTGGTACTTGTCCCTTTAAATCCATTTGTAATATGTCAATTGATACCAGCTGCTGAGAAAAAATACGAGGCTAGAATAAATAAACTCATGGCAGTTTGATGAAGCACAGATTGCATTTCATCCAATTCAATTATGCAGTCAATTATTTTGAATCAGAGTGTCAGTTACAGCAACCTTTACAAACCATAACAAGAAGTGGGCTTGAGAGACGGCTGCCAGCATTGAATAAGTCAGAGTCATAGAGTCATAGCTACTTCTACTGCACAGAAAGAGGCCATTCGAACCATCGTGTCTGCAGTAGTCACCAAACATCAACCTATTCTACATCATTTCAAGTGCTCATCTAAGTGGTTCTTAAATGTCATGAGGGTTCCTGCCTCTATCACCCTTTCAAACGTAAGTTCTAGATACCCACAACTTTCTGGGTAAATAGAAATGGCCTTAAATCCCCTCTAAACTTTCTGCTCTTCACTTTAAAAGGTTAGTGACCCCACTAAGGGGGAACATTTCTCCCATCCACCCTGTCTATGCCCCTCAGAACTTTGTACATCTCAATCCCATTCCCCCCCCTCAGCCTATTTAGTCAATCTTCATAGCTGACTTGCTACAGCCTAGGAAACATGCTGGTACATCTCTTTTGCATCCTCTCTAGTGCAATCACATACTTCCTATTGTGTGGTGATCAGAATGGCAGTATTCCAACTGTGGCCAAAGTTAAATATAGCTCCATCATAACCTCTTCTTCTTGTATTCAATGCTTTGACTAATAAATACAAGTATCTCATATGCCTTCTTAACCACCAGTCCTGTTATTTTCAAAAATCTATGGATATGCACACCATGGTCCCTCTTATCCTCTGACCTTCCTAGGGTCCGACCATTCAACATGCACATACTTTCCTTGTTAGACTTCCCAAAATGCATCATCTCAGATATTTTCAGATTAAAATTTCAATTACCACTGTTCAGCCCGTCTGACCAACTCATCTACATCATCCCATAGTCTAAAGCTTTCCTCCTTACTATTAGACACCATTAGACACAAGGTTCCAGTCACAGAAACATTCTTTAACTGTCTCCCTCTGTTCCTGCCACTAAGCTAATTTTGGAATAAATTTGTCAACTTGCACTGAATCCCATGGGCTTTTAGCTTTTTAACCAGTCTGCCATGCAAGTTGTTTCAGTAGAATATAAGTAAACCAACTAGCACCTTCACAAAAAAAGAGTAAAGATCCTTTGGATTACAAAACAGATATTTTTAAATCCAAGTTATCTACTGTAAAATAGCTTAGAATTTTGTTTTACACAAATATGTGTCTTCATTTCTCTATTCACCTGGGTGCTCTGTACTTAAGATGGTGCTGTGTGTTGGTGCCATTGTTATACTGTAACTAATCTTGTAACTGAAGTTGTACTTACGTACCTTTACACCCAAGATGGCACTACAACTGGCAACTTATAAACTTTTCACTGTACTCATTTGAATACGTGCCAATAAAGTTAATTCAATTCAATAATAGCATTCCAACTTTAATTGTACAATTGTCCCTTATTAATGTTAAATTAGGCATTTGTTTGTAGTTTGTATAATATGTTCCAATTAAAATTAGACCATGTGAAGACTGGAGAGCAATCTGTGGAAGCTCAAGAGTGGTCCTTTGGAAACAGTTGTACTGTCATTTTCGACATCAGGCCAGGCAAAGATTAGAGGATAAACCACACAAATAAAACAGACTGCCTTGTACGTTATTGAAAAAAGTCATTTCTCAAGACCAGAGTGGGCACAGTCAAGGTGATGGGTCTTGCTGATGTTATTAAACTGGAGAGGGGTCAGAAGAGGTATGGAAGGTCTCAGTTATAACAAAGGCTGCATAGGCTGGGACTTTTTTTGCTTGAGCATAGGAGGTTGAGGGGCGAACTTATACAAGTTTATGAAATAATGAGGAGCATAAATAGAGTTAATGGTAGTCGCCTTTTCCCAAGGATGGAGGATTTCAAGACTAAGGGGCACATTTTTAAAGTGAGACGAGAGAGATTTTGAAAAGACGTGAGGGACAATTTTTTTTTTTTTTTTTTTTAAAACAGAGGGTGGTCTGCGTGTGGAATGAACTTCCTGAGGAAGTGGTGGATGTGGGTACAATTACAACATTTAAAAGACATTTGGATAAGTACATGAATAGGAACGGTTTGGAGGGATATGGGCCAGTGCAGGCAGGTGGGCCTAGTTTAGTTTGGGATTATGTTTGGCATGGAATGGTTGGGCTGAAGGGTCTGTTTCCGTGCTGTATGATTCTACGATTCCATGAGAACCAAAATAATCTTGAGACAGAAGGAAGATCCAAAAATTCAATAAGTATGACAGCAGAGTTTATTAATCTGAATATGCAATGATTTGTCAACTGGGTTTCAAACTCAATATTTAAAACATGACTAAGTGTACTTGCATTGTCAGTGCATTCGAGTTCACATTCTAAACTGGGGTTTTTAATGATCTCAGAAATTCTGCTTAGCAAAATATATCCTAATAATTATTCAGGGCAATTTGATGAGAAATAAAAACCACCTCTTAATTTTGTAAGAAAGCAATGTAAAATACTAATATCAATAAATAACAGGAAAAATTAGACATAAGCCAAATACCATTTAATTCTTCATATTCTTAATTGACTACCAAGTGATTGCTACCAGACATTTAAATTGTGCCAGTCCCTTAAAGTAAACCCAACAGACTCAATAGGTTTTTAAGTACTTCCAGGTTTTCATACAGGTTGCCCGACTTTGACACAAATTTACACCAGAAGACTTTTGTTGAGATCTTCACATTCATTGCAAGCGCTTTGTTGAAAATAATATACAGACCAACAAAACTTAAGTATTAATTTACTGAATGTTCGTGCTGAAGGGTCTCCACACAGACTATCTGTTGACAGAATTTAAGCACTCTCAAATGTCCTTCAATCCCTTTTTCAAAATCACTATTTTCAAGCCTTGATCTGACATTAAAAAAAAATTACTTTGTAGTTCTTATGAATCCAAACTGAAGTTCTTTTAAGATGTGTATTTTACAGCATTGGGAAAATAAATTAACTAAAATGTAAACTGAGGAGCCAAAGTAACCTTTTCAAGCATCTGGGTGATGGATTCCCCAATGGCACCAACCACCAGCAGCTCCAATCGAAGACCTGTAACCAACGAACTGACGTCACCCCATTATAAGAGATCAAAATGCTCCTTCTAGACATACAGTCATAGACATATACAGAACAAAAACAGACTCTTCAGTCCAACTCATCAATGCCGACCAGATATTCCAAATAAATCTGGCCCCATTTGCCAGCATTTGGCCCATATCCCTCTATACCCGTCTTATTCATCTACCCATCCAGATGCCTTTTAAATGTTTTAATTGTACCAGCCTCCACCATTTCCTCTGGAAGTCCAAATAGATCATGACCACTGGCTCTGGCCTCATCAATCCTCTTTGTTATTTCTACAAAAAACTCAATCAAGATAGTGAGACAATTTCCCCACACACAAAGCTATTTCACTATCCCTAATCGGTCCTTACCTTACCAAATACATGTAAATCCTGTCCCTCAGGATTCCCTCCAACAACTTGCCCACCACTGATGTCAGGCTCACCGGTCTATAGTTCCCTGGCTTTTCAATTTCAAAATAAGTTGACGTTGAATACTTTTAACTGTGATTAGAAGTCTTGAAAAATACTATGTAAATGGAGAAATTAAGCTTCAATTAAAATTCTGCCATTTACTAATAAAATTATTACACAGAGGATACTTGGAAAACCATTGGTGGTTGAGTTCAATGATTTTCCTGTAATTTAGTAGTCATGATTTCTTTGTTAACCACCGAATCTATATCAAAACATCACTGTACAAATACAAGTTGGTGACACTGAAAGAAAATCAGAAATTGGAAAAACTCAGAAAGCAGAGTTAAAGTTTCAGGTCAGTGACCCATCTTCAAAATCTTTTGTTCAGATCCTTCGTGTTCTGAAGGATGACTAAACATTAATTCTGCTTTCTCTCCATAGATCCTGCCAGACCTGCTGAGTTTTTCCAACAATTTCTGATGTTGCTTCTGATTTCCAGCATCCACAGCTCTTGGTTTTTTTTTTGGTTTGGTGACACTGATGTCATCATCATACACTAGCACCACACTGGAAGTGGAAGCGGAATTCCAAAGGCATTGCCCCAGTTGACTGGAGCAGAAACTAGACATTACAGACCTGATGTTGCTGCTTCTCCCTTGGCACTGCAAGATTTTTAAAATCAAGATACTGCTTTACTGGCATGCAATGGGGATCATCAAGCACAAGTGCTTATTCAAAGTTAAGACATGGGCAGCAGAGTTTTAGATGATCTCAAGTTTATGTGTGCGAGACCAGAAGAATGCTAAAATTGTCATGTGTAGAGGTACTAAAAGCATAAATAAATATTCTAGTAGCAGATGAGCAGAGATGCAAATTAAGTAATGCAGTGTTACAGAGTGGGAACAGCTAGTCTTAGTGATGGCGCAGAAGATCATCTTGTGATCAAATATGACATTATATGATATTAAGGTTGCAAACAGACTATTGTCCTGAAGAAGGACTCAAAACAATGGCTTCAGTTTTCCCATTATCTCATTGAAAGACATTTCTGCTCATCCAGTACTGGATGTCAGACATGAGGTCTAACAATTTAGCAACAGTGGAGGAACTGAGAGGTGGTGTTGAGCTGGAGCTGCATGCTGTCATGAGACTTGTGGAACTTAACAGTGGTTTCAGATGATGTCACCAAGAGACGGTACGTAGATGTGCTAAATCCTTGGAGACACCAGAGGTAAAGAGAAGGCATTACAAGTGTTATGTTGTCTCTTACTATGTAAATACAGAATTGTGCCACAGCAGTACGATCTAGTTGGATGACATTAGAGACACATTGAAGGAGAATGACATGGTCAGCTGTGTCAAAGACTTTAGACAGGTTGAAAAGATCAACAAGGAACAATATATCTTTGTCAGAGTCAAATGAGGTGTCCTTTATGACAAATAAAATCATGAAAGAAAAGTCTTCCAAAAGGTGAGGAATATATTTTGAACTCATTCATGGTATGTGGATGCTATTGGCAAGGCTAGCATTAACAGCCCATTCCCACTCACCATTGATAAGGCTGTGGCGAGCCTTCTTGAACTGTTAACACAGTACATTGTAGTGTAAGAACATGCACAGTGCATTAGGGAGCATCCCTGGATTGTTATCCAGTGACAGCAAAGGACGAGTGATATATTTCCAAGTTAGGATGGTGCGTGCATCACATGGAAAGTCAAAGTTACCAATGAAGCAGTCCTTCCTAGAATAAACATGGTGAGCATGCTAGTGCTAATCACACAAAAAGCTGCTTTGGTGGCTTGAGTATATTCACAGGACAGAAGATGGCCTCATCCTGGGTACAGAAAAATGATTTGAATTCCAGAGGTCAACAGAGAGTGATCGTCCTTGACAACAAGATAGCATTTGACCCATCTATGAGCCTCAATAAAATTCTTTGCTGTAGGTAGACCCACAACGCAGTTAGGGAGAGAATTCCAGGATATTGACTCAGTATGGGTCTTCTCTTTCTGTTCTGGAAGTCACTGCCACGTACAGACTTTGGAGACCCGTGCAGCCATTAAGAAAATTACAAAGAACACTGGCTCAGACTTGTACCTTGTATATGGTGGGCATGGCATGGCATGGCATAGCTTGGGCTTCAACAATGTTAATGCTGTGGAATGACATGGGAGGTGGAGATTGTCTCATTGGAGACTGTCGTTGCCTGGTACTTATTTTATTTCCCTTTTAAAAGTCCCATGCCTAGATTTGTCCAGGTGTCACCTTATGCAAGCTTGGATTGCTTCCTTATCTGTGTAACTGCAAATAGAATTAAACACCATGCAATAATTAGTGAACATCCTCACTTCTGATTTTCTGATGGAGGTGACTGACGAAGCAGTTGAAGATGATTCAGTCACCTGAGGAACTACTGAAATATCCTGGACTAGAGATGATTAGACTTTGAGAATCACAATCATCTTTCTTTATGTTAGATATGATATCAGGTAGTGAAGAATTTTCCTCCCAAAATTCCTCCCGATTTCCACTGCCCTCAACTTTATTAAGACTCATTGATGAATAATTGGTCAAACACTATCTTGATGTAAAGGGCAATCACTCTCTATTGACTGCTGGAATTAAAATAATTTTTTCATGCATTGATTAGGATGCTTTCAGGAATGGAAGCTTGTGGTTCTTGCAGAACCTAAATGAGGCGTGTTATTGGTGAGTAAGCGGCACGTGATGGCACTATCAATGATATCCTCCATCATTTTGTTGTTGATTGACAGTAGACTGACAGAGGTGTAACTGGCAGATTGGATTTGTCTTGCACAAGTATTCAGTGTGACAACTGAGAGGTTGTTGGGGTCCATAACTAATTCTACATCTAGTGGTCTCAGCTATTTTTGTAATCACATGGAGTGAATCAAATTGACTGGAATATAACATCTTTGGTGCTGGGGACCTCAGGAGTAAACCTGGAAGGATCATCACTCAACACAATATGCCTGACTTGAGAAATAATGTTGGGGATCAGAAACAGAAAGCAAGAGTGGAAAGCCTCTCTTCCACTAATGAAATGAAGTTAAATCAGCACCAGGAAATTATAGGGGAAACACTAGGCCCCTGCTGAAAGCAAACCTGATAACCCATCACCCTCTATTATGCCCAAGCAAAAACAGAGTTCTGATACCCATAGTTTGCTCCCCTCACAATGAAGAGAAACAAGACTTCTAGCAAACTTGGCACACATTACTTCTCCCTGTAACGCACCAATGCCCCAAAGCCTCTCCCAACCATTACTGTATTCCCCTCTGTCTCTCTTCCACCCAATCCTTCATTCATACTCCACTTTCCTTTCCATATTTCCTATCCCATGCTATTGAGAAAATTCCTGACAACAGCATAAACTGATATTTGATTACTTAGTTCAATAGTACATGGTATGAGCCTCAGTCAAACAGCACCACTCCAAAATTGGTGAGTGGTGATAGACGGCTGTTGCAATGTCAGCACATAACTGGAGAGCAGGATATAATAAAATGGGAAACAAGGGAGGAAATGTGTAGATGAGAAGACTGTTACTTTGAACTTGAGGAGGGTAGGCGCAATGGACAGGGGATGAGAGTCACCTCTAAATGAGAGGGTGGGGTGAAGCATTATTTTTTGGTCAAAGTATTGAAAAAATATAGCACTTAATACATAATGCAGTCTTTGCTGAATATAGTAACAATATATTTTAAAGTACAATACTCACTAGCCTCCACAAAGGCCTTCAAAGCCTCCAGCTGCTCAGCCCCTGTTAACTGCAAGGCTTTTTCCAGGATTTGGCGATACCTTTTATAGGGGACAAAAAGTTGTGAGGAAACAATCACTTGCAAACAACACAGTTATTCCACAAGATTTACTTCATGATTTTTAAAGAAGTGGCATGATTTTACAGATAGCATAACTTGCTCTTTTTGTAAACTCTCAAACAATAGTTCGCATTAGAGAAGAATTAACATTATTAACTTAAGTTCGAAGCCACATAAATGAATGTGGCCAAACCTGGCCAAACTCAGCCAGAGGAACAGTAATAATGCAGCAGGGAATTGTATCTCACAAACAACATTGGTGAAGAAGGCTGGAACAAGCATTTTAGCACAGGATGAATAGGTTGATTATAATCTAAAGAAATTATACTACAGGCCTGATGTGAATCCAAATGTATTTAACCAGAAGAATTAATCCTGCAGAAATAATGAAAGGCTAAATATGTGCTATATTCAGAAAATATACTCATATGCATGAAATTATATCCTTTTGCAGGTTTCCAAAAGTGCAGGCTGTGACGCAAGTGGAATCATGAGCTGAAATTTTGGGGTCACAAGATCAGAGAGAGCAATGGATGCTTTGTAATCCCTCCCTCAACCAGACTGGTCTTCAGTTCCAGCCCATCCTCTACTTTCATAGGCCTTCCCAACCCTCCCTCACACCTCTCAGACAGGTCATGACAGTCTTTAAGTCTCAATGGGGTCACAATGGAAGTGGTTTGGGAGGGACGAGAACATAGCTTGTATTTTTGACCACTAAAACAATGCTGAACTAAAAACAAAATACTGTGGATGGTGGAATTCTGAAGTAAAACTAGAAATGACTAAAAATACGCAACTCCAACAGTACCTACGGAGAATGAAACAAAAGTTAAAATTTGGAGTCGAATATGACACCAAATCAAGATTGGAACTAAATTTTCCACTCTTGTAAACCCTGCTGCCAATCCATGGCCCTCACTTGTTGCTCATCTTGGATATTTAGCCAGTTTTTATATTTTTCTGGACAGTTGTCTGCACATCCGACTCTCATGGCCCCCTTCAATCATCTGACTCTGTTGGTCGGCAAACTACCTGTGAACCTGGGCAAATGATCTCCATGAGATTACATTTTCATGATCCTCACGATCAATATGTATATCAACATGTAATTCCTGAGCTCATAAGACCTGCCCGTATGGTTACAAACTGTATGTTTTTGGGTATGCAAAGTACACGGTGCTTCATCATCGATATCTTTTACCACTTTCTGAGGTCAAAGATTCATAATTCATTCCCACTACTCCTGAAGAACACAACTTTATAGTGTGATTCCATGTCAGGTAATGAAGATTTTCCCATCACATCCAATAACTTTTCCTGACCCTTTCCATTCTGTGTCCTTCTCACTCAGTGTAATCCATGTCACCAAATCGGAAATCTCCCCCTGACAGTCTGATGTGATGTTTCAATACTTCGTTAATTTTTTCTGACACTCCACTTCAATGAATGCCTTTCTCCTGGTGTGTAACACATTGAGATGGATGCACATAAAATAAAATAAATATTCATAATCCCAGGATTCCCATTGTGCTGCAAATGAAGGACTTTTGAAATGGCCTAACATGCTGAAAAGCACACTTATGCCATGCTCGTATATCAACACAGTCATTGTTGAAATGTAGGCAAACGTGGCAGTTAATTTACATATAGCAAGGTTCATGAACAACAAGATGAATAATTAAATAATTCACTTTAGTAATATTGGTTAAACAAGCTGGGACTCCCCTACTCTTCTTCAGATAGTGGCGAGAAATTTTTTACATCCACATTGCATCCAAGGGTCCTAAAGAGGTAGCTACAGAGATAGTGGCTGTAATACATTGATTGTAATTTTTCAAAAATCCTTAGATTCTGGCGAAGTACTGGATGATTGGGAAACTGCTAATGGGATTGCCCTCTTCAAAAAGGAAAGGAGGTAATAAGTGGGTACAATAGGCTGATCAGGCTAACATTTATTGTTTGAAAAATGTTGGAATTAATTATTAAGGAATTAATTACAGCAAACTGTACAAGGTGCTAGTGAGACCACATCTAGAGTATTAAGAGCAGTTTTGGTCCCCTTACCTCAGAAAAGGTACGGTTTAATTGAAGGCAGTTGAAACACAGTTCACTAGGTTGATCCCTGGCATGGAGGGATTGTCTTCGGAGCAAAGGTTGAATAGGTTGGGATTCTACTCACAGGAGGTTAGAAGAATGAGAGGTGATTTCATTGAAACATGGAGGATTCTTAATGGGCTTGACAAGGTAAATGCTCAGAGGATGTTTCCACTCATGGGAGTGTCTTGGACTAGTCTCAGAATAAAGGGCCATCAATTTAGGACGAAGACAAGGATAATTTCTTCTTTCAGAATGTTAGGAGTCATTAGAACTCCTTGCAAGAGCGCTGTGCGGTAGAATGCTTGCGTATATTTAGGGCGGAAACAGAGAGAGTCATAGAGATATACAGCATGGAAACAGACACTTCCGTCGAACTTGTCTATGCTGACCAGATATCCTAAATAAATCTAGTCCCATTTGCCAGCATTTGGCCCGTATCCCTCTAGAACCTTCCTATTCATATGCCATTCTAGATGCCTCTTAAATGATGTAATTGTACTAGCCTCCACCACTTGCATACATGCAACACCCTCTGTGTGAAAAAGTTGCCCCTTAGTTCCCTTTTATATCTTTCCCCTCTCACCTTAAACCTACACCCTCTAGTTTTGGACTCCCCCACCCCGGGGAAAAGACCTTGTCTATTTACTCTATCCGTGCCGCTCAGACTCCGATGGTCCAGGGAAAATAGCCCCAGCCTATTCAGCCTCTCTCTATAGCTAAAACCCTCCAACCCTGGCAAAATCCTTGTAAATTTTTTCTGAACCTTTTCAAGTTTCACAACATCCTTCTTATAGCAGGGAAACCAGAACTGTATGCAGTATTCCAAAAGTGGCCTAACCAATGTCCTGTACAGCCGCAACATGATCTCCCAATTCCTACACTCAATGCATTGACCAGTAAGTACAAGCATACCAAACGCCTTCTTCACTATCTTATCTACCTACAACTCCACTCTCAAGGAATTATGAACATGCACTCTAAGGTCCCTTTGTTCATTTACACTCCCCAGGACCTTACCATTAAGTGTATAAGTCCTGCGCTGATTTGCCTTTTCAAAATGCAGCACCTCACATCTATCTAAACTACATCTGCCACTCTCTCTAAAATCATACTTCATGTATTATGGAGAACAAAGCAAAACAACATATCCACAAATGGCATCATCAAGATCAAATACAAATCCACCACCAGATCCTGAGACTTATGAACATTCAGCTAGCAATCACTTCCAACTCTAGTGCCTGTATATTTTTCCCTCAAACAGCTCTTCATGTATCATCTTTTCTGGTCTGTCAAACTATTAGGTACACATCAATTCAAGTTATTACTTTCCCATTGAACATATGGGCACACACTTTTTAAATCTGACTCTTCAACTATCTTAAATATTTTCCTGAAATTCCAGTTTTGAATCCCGATTGGAGTCAGCAAACATTTTTACCTGAAGGACTGTTTCAAACAAAAAAGTGCTTAAAATAAACATGCTTTGAGTCACAACATATTTCTTAACTACATACCTGGCAAACTCAAGTGTCTCTGGTAGAGTGCATAAAGTGCATATATTAATAGGGGAAAAAAACAAAATTAAAGTAGATTTAACAATGGGTTACACCCAGTAAAGCCATCTTTGAAACAACTCCTAATTTAAGATGTGGAGAGTAAGATCTTTCCTTTCAACGATGATTCTGAAAGTAACTTGGGATATATGAAATTATGAGGGGCATAAAAAGGATAGTTCGGAAGGAGCTTTTTCCTTCTGTGGGGGGGGTCGACAACCAGGGCGTAAAATAAGGGGCAAAAGGTTTAGAGGGGATTTAGGAAAATTGTTCACACTAAAATGATGGTGGGTATCTGGAACTCACTGCCTGAAAAGGGTGAAGGATTGGAACCATTACAATATTTAAGAAGTATTTAGATGAATACTTCAAATGTATGCTAGGCAACAGCCAAGTGTTGGAAAATGAGATTACAAAGGTGCTTGAATATCAGCAAGGAAACAATGGGCTGAAGGGCTTCTTTCCATGCTGCAATACTCTATGGCTCTCGCGGGTTCAGAGGAGGTTCACGAGAATGGTCCCAGGAATGGAAAGCTTAACATATGAGGAACGTTTGAGGACTCTGGGACTATACTCATTGGAGTTTAGAAGGATGAGGAGGGATCTCATTGAAACTTACAGAATACTGAATGGCCTGGACAGACTGGATGTTGGGAAGATGCTTCCATTGGTAGGAGAGTCTAGGACCCGAGGGCACCACCTTAGAGTAAAGGGAAGACCTTTTAGAATGGAGATAAGGAGAAACTTCTTCAGCCAGAGAGTGGTGAATCTATGGAATTCACTGCCACAGAAGGCTGTGGAGGCCAGGTCATTGAGTACATTTAAGACTGAGATAGATAGGTTTGTATGCAGTAATTTAAGTTTAATAAAACAAAACCTCTTTCAGAAACATAGATATAATTGTCTTACGACTTGCTAATCTTGCCCTGGCCAACCAGCCACCCCACAAAAAATACAAAGGCCCACAAATCTAACAGAAAAAAAATCCAGTTAACAGGAATGATCTTTAATAAGTGTATGAAGCTTCTCAGACAAGATCCACCCACTGCTAGCCAGAAGTCAACTCCATGCATCAACTGCCCGAAAAAAAAATCTGATCTCAAATCTGGCTTGTTTGTTTGGTACTTGTTCATTCCAGTTATAGAGTCATAGAGTTATACAGCATGGGAAAAGACCCTTCGGTCTAACTCATCCATGCTGATCAGAAATCCTAAATAAATCTAGTCCCATTTGCCAGCATTTGGTCTGTATTCCTCCAATCCCTTCCTATGCATCTACCCATCCAGATGCCTTTTAAATTTTGTAATGTACTGTCTCCACCATTTCC